GATTCTTCAGGTGTTGGATTCACATGTGTACTTACTCATACCCCGTTCAGATGTGTGACCGGCATCCATGTGCAACAGCAAATGCAATGACTTCCCATTTAGAAGCTAAAGAACCCTGAAAAAGCTTTTCCTCCTATTTCTGAGGGGGTGGGGGGGAAATCACGAGGCTAAAAAAATGAAATAAGTGGTTGGTGAAGGTGATCAGTTCGGCTCCAGGCTGAGGAAGCGAGCAGCTGTAGGGCTGAACCATGTCAGGGTCAAGTTGCGGTAACGCTAGATTGCTCATCTTGGAGAATTTATTCCATTTCTACGGGTGTCCTTCCTTCTTGGAGGTTTTGCTGCATCTGCAGAGGTTTTATGGTGGTTTTGAGTTATGGGACGGGTTTAGTTCCTCTACTATACGTATCTTGAGAAGCATTTAGCATAAAGCTTGGCCACCCTCATGGCCTATAAATGTCTAAGTCATTGCCTTATATTTTCACGGAGGTCCCCTCAGCAGCCGAGGTCTAAAGCTCCTCCGGAGTAGAGCAAACCGCAGCATCCCCTGGCTAAACCATCTCTCTTCAAACTCTTCCCCAGAACTTTCAAGCAGTTCTCATCTTAATACTCTCAAGAGGACTTTGTCCCTGTTGCGGCAAACCGAGCTGTGTGTCCCGAGGTCCCTGGGAATCTTATTTCTTCCCGTGGAGGTGGAACAACATGACTGGCCCCATGTCTCTCCGTGGTGAATGGAGACTCATTCATTGTCCTTGCTGTGCATGACCCCTGGAAGATTTGCCCGCATTTTTGGCTACTGTTTCCATTTTTATCCACATATATTCTCAAACTGGTGCATGCTGTATTAGCCAGACCGCAAAGCCTGATAGCTGTGGGTTTTATCAGCAACTTTGTGTATGTAAATCCCAGTAAATCCCAGCAACCGCCAAACTTAAAAAAGGGTTTTAATGAATTTTGTGGCCACATGGCCAGTGTTTTGTGAACTGCCCTGGGCGGTGTGAAATCACACAGTCAGTATCTCCAGAGTCTGCCCAACCTATCTAAGTGTCTTGAAGGGTCTTGACTGTCTCTGTGAGCAGCAGATAGAATCTTCAGAAAGCATATCCAGGAGAATCTTGGCGCTGACAGAGCCTCACGCTGAGCACCGTGCCTTCCCAGGCCCCCGTTCCTCTTCTCTCCTCCCTCCGGCCGCAGTGCTGTCATGGCGGCACTGGCCTGGGCCCTTGTTCGCCTGCACCGTGGCCAGTGGTGTTCCAGGCACTGGCAATCAAAAAGCAAACAACCTTAAGACTCCTGCCCTAGCCTCCCACCCCGGGGCTGACATGCCAGGAAGGGGCGAGGTAAACCACCAGATAGAGACGTCAGTGAGCAAAATCACTAAAGATGTGCTAGGTTATGTGAAGGGCTGGGATGGAGTTGGCAAGTGTGCTTAAGGAAGAATGATGAAGAAAGGACAGAAGCATCTCTCTGGGGAGGTGACCCTCGATCTGGGACATGTAGAAAGTAGTTCAGGGGAGGGTGGGCATGTTTCAAGGCCGCGAGGTGAATGGGTTTGCAGTGTCCGAGGAGCTTTGAGGAGAGCGGGGGGCCTGGAGCACAGGGGGCAAGGGCTGGAAGGGAGGAAGGTGGGACTGGAAGAGGGCCGGGACAACCTGCAAGGTTTGGGTTTTATTCCAAGATCAGTGAGAAACCACTGGAGGTGGTTAAGCAGGGAAGTGATGTGATTAGATTTCCATAGATTTATATGTAGATAGATGATAGACATAGATACAGATTTGATAGATATGGACCTAGATGGCTGGTGGTTTGAAGAGGTGAGAAGAGAACCCAGAGACAGAATTGAAGGCTGCTGTTGACTTGGTTCCACTGAAATACCGGCGGCTTATGTGAGGATGGAAATAGCATGAGTGGAGTCATGTGGACGCGTGTTGGGTTTCATCTGTAATTCCTGATAGACGGGATGTGGGGACACAGAGAGCTTCGTGGCCTGATAGCGCTGCTGTCCCCTTGGGCTGGGGATGGGTGGCATAGAGGGTGATGAACATGGAGGTTCTAGGACATTTTACCATCATTCCCGTTGAAGGCTTGGGCATTGGCATGCCTCCCACGGGCTGTGCTTAGCCAGCTCTGAGAACAAGTGGGCACCCATGTGCCTGGCGTATCTGCTGCAACAGGAAGGCTCAGGCCACATCTTCCTAATGACCTTGTGTCTAAATCCAGGTACCACGCAAGGGTGTGTTTAGGAATTAGCATTTGAAAAGAAGCCTCCTTGCTTTCAGTTTGAGCTGACATGGTCCCTTTTCCTCTGTGGAAATGAAATTTATTAATCATAATAAAACCATCGGATTCTGAAGGTAGAGGTCACCCTGAGGAGAAAAGGAGCCTGCTCATGTATGAGGAACAGTTCATGCTGCTGTATTTTTCTTCTGCCTTGGGAGAGAAAACTGCCAGTTTGTTACCTGGGGTTTTCCACAAAGGCGGAAGTTCTGCCCAGTGTTAGAGACAAACAATTTATCAATAAAGTACGTGGAAGGAAAGGGCGGGAGCCACATCTTCATTGAATACATTCAGTCTACCAATAACGTTGTCTCCCAAAAGAGAAAAGTTTTGCCACCATAAAAGCCATTCCCAAAATTTAAAGGACTTAATTTCTCTAAATTTGCATCTCCATACTCATGTCAAAGGAGCACCATTAAAGGGATGTTCTGACATTTCTTCCTACATTCCCAAGGATTTTCAGTTTCCCCTTGCAGCTTCTGTCCCGTTCATACAACCAGATTTTCTCTAGACCCATGACAGGCTTTATTTCCTCATGAAATGGAAATCAAAGCTGTGCATCTCGCCCTCTTACCTCTGTTAGTGTCTACTTCTAGTTATGTGGGCAGAGGCTCAATTTTCATGAGTGACCTCCATGCGGATAGGATTTCTTCAAAACCTTCAGCAGTCGTCTTTTTGTTTGCACACACCCTCTGTCTGGGGCTCACATTAGTTTTGCCTCCAAGAGAGAGGGAAAGTCTTGGATTGAAGGCCGTTTGGTGGCGCCCAACCACTGAAGGGTGTCCCTAAGAGTGAAGAACAAATGGGAGTTCTCTGTCATTTCACCGAGAGAGTTACCTCAGAACAGAAACTTCCACTCGCATCACTGCTTTTGAGGATGCTGAAAGCCTCATCTAGATTATTTGAACTCAGTGCCCTTGAAACAGGCAAGTCGGGTTCAGGAGAAGGTTCACACGTCCGGGGAGAACTTGGTATAATCAACGTTTTTCTCCATTTGGAGTCCAACTAAGAGTTAGAAGTTCTGTCCCCCGGCTTCCGTCCACGTCCTCCCTGGCTCCATGGAGTGAGTGACCACATCAGACCCATCTGGTACATTCTCACCAACCCACTAGGAGAAAGAAGCTAGGAAAGAAAATGGGGAGGAGAGGAATAAAATACATGTAAGTGAGACTCCAGGGGGTGGGAGGTGAGCATAAGGATGACAGGACACACAACCCGTTCCTTCCTGCCTTGCTCCTTCATTCTTTAAAGGCAAGTCCAAGAGTCAAAAGCTGCAGATAATGGACATTTATCCCATGTAATGGTTGGCACACCCGTCCCCACCCCAGTTGTGCTGTTCCCTTCTTCAGAGAATTATCCTCTGCCAAAGAGTGTCGCTTCAACTCAGAAGTTATCCTCAGGGAAGCCCATAGCTAATACTTACCTTACATGAGCATTGAAAAGCCAACCCACCTGCTTCCAGGCGGGATCGTCTCTGGAGTGCAGCTGGCAGGATCAGGCCGAAGCTAGTCTCCAGCTCAGACCACACCCGGGCCTCTCTTTGTACCCATGCTCTGACCCACTTGCTTATCTCTCCTTCTCTTGAAAGCACCTCAACAAACCACATGCACCAGAATCTCTGTTTCAGGCTGTGCCTCCAGACAACCTAACCTAACCCAACCCACATGTCAGCCTTGCTCATTACCAAAAAAGCAATGTTCAGCCTCCAAGAAGATATCTGTCAGATCGTTCAAGGAAAGGTGCTTGACACCATGGAAAGAGCATGCACGTTTCCCTGAGAGATTCAAGGATCAGCTCTGACTTTTTAGCTCTGCAACTTTGGCAAAGGACTTAACCTCCCTGAGCTTAATGTCTGACTTGTTCATTGTTGAATTTGAGACACGTAGTAGGCATCCAATGAATCAGGCCTCCATCTCGTCTTCGTTTTTGTTCTAAAGCCTGTGGAAGTCATGGCAGTGGAGGGAGGAGGATGGTAGAGAGAGAGAAATGCTCAAAGGTGAGGATATGTCATCAAGAAATAGTGTTTGAATGTACCCCTTCCAAGCGCCTGGCCAGAGATGGATGAGATAGAAGTTCTGGGGTGATAGGCTCAAAATCAAGTCAGGCTCTCATTATTGAGTGGGGGGAAGGTTGCACAAACCCTTCAAGGATTCTTCTGTTTGAATTCATTTGTGCTTTCCATGCTAAGATGCTGGGTCTCTTCACCCTTTTTGATCTCCCTTGTCTCACTTGACTGGTGATAGCTCAATTAGGAGAAGAGGACCATCTCTCTTGAGTATAACATGTCCTTTGTGGGTACTGGGCTTCGTAAAGCCACTTTCAGGTTGTTTGTTCTATCTGCCTCTGGCTCCAGGTAGCTACCTGAGCAATAGAGAAATGTTCTATGAGAGAGAGAAGGGAACAAAAAAATGTGTATCTATCTCTATCTATCTATCTATCTATCTATCTATCTATCTATCTATCTATCTATCTATCTATCTATCTATCATCTATCATCTATCTATCTATCTATCGATCTCACTAGCAACGTGAATGTTAATGGATGAAATAATGGGCTGTGCACAGATGGACTTTTCTCATATCATGTGACGGGTTGAATGTATTCCTTCTTTCTGAAGAGGAGCAGGGCCCCTGCACACTGTCTTGGTATTTGGTGTTTAATGGTTGTTATCATGACTTTGTGATCGCACATCACGGATTCATCCTCACCTCTGCTTGCCTTTCAGTTACGGACGAGTTTATGCTGCCGACCCCTACCACCACACACTTGCTCCAGCCCCCACCTACAGCGTTGGTGCCATGGTGAGTGCCACCGGTTCCTCCTCTTTCTCACTTCCTCCTGCCTTCCTGCCCTTCCCCCAGCTGGGACCTTAGTGTGGGGTGACGGTTGACGTCCTCTCACTTTCCCTTAATTGAATTTGTCTCTTGTGCTAACAGCAGCCAAAATGCCACATTAATCCTCCCAGTAAACTTGATAAATGTCTTAATTTCTTGGCAATGTAGTGCATGTAAGTTATTATATTTCTAATTTTGCAAGTCTCACCTAGCAGAGCACTTACCTTAATGGAATAATTAGTCATTTTGATAATTAAATCCATCACTAACGGAATGCAGTGTCAATGCAGAACTTTTTTTTTTCTTTTTTTTTTCCCTCCCTTGCTGCTCATTCACATAGCCCCAAGGTTCCAGCCCCAGCACAGACTTCAGAGGAGCTAAGCTGCACACTTCCAGGCCTCTGCTGTCAGGCAGCTGAGAATCTGACTGCCTCTCCTCCCCTATTACAATTCATGTTTAAAGTCATAGTCGCCCAGGAAAGAAAATAGAGAGAGGGGCACGCTTTGTGTGTGTGCCTAGTACATAAGGAATTAGAGGGAATCAGCTGGGGTTTGGGGGTTGTCTTTTGTTTTGGGGGGCTCTGGGTTTTTGTTTTGGGAGGGGTGGGGGGAGGGCCAAAGTGGGAGGTGTGGGTGGGGTGAATTTGCCTGTACTTGTTCAAACTTCTATGCACTAGAACTCTTGAGTACAGTAAGACGTGCCCATCACGTGAGAGCGTATGCAATCGTTACAAAGCTTTTGGCATGCAGTTTTCTGCTTGGGATCAAGAATATCAGTCCTTATCCTAAAAATAAGCCCCCATAGGCATTCAATTGAATGGCCAATACTTTCAGGCAAAGGATATAGTTAAGTGCCACCTCATAGCCACGTAAAGCCATGGCCAGACAATTCACTGGAACTTGGTCACAGAAATTCAGCCATGATTTGGAAACACATTATTTTGCACAAGCTCCATTACATCAAGCAATTCATCTGTATAGCAAATTCCATACAGATTGCTGAGCCGAGTCAAGTCAGCAGTTGATTTAAATTCTCATCCTGATTCTGCATCCACCCACTCTGCCTCCACACCTCGTCCACTTGCGGCGTGTGTTGGAAAAGAGAGTTGAATCACTACATTCAGTAAGTTGCCTACATTCAACCGCTCGCACGTAGACTGAGCTTGGTGTTCTGACGCAGCGTAGTGTTAATGAATCAGACAAGCGCCCAGAACGAGGCAGTGCAGGTCCTTCAGTTGTCCAGCCTGTATCAGAGCGCTTTTAGCTAAGAGGACTGGCCGAGAGAATTTGGTTGTACAGGGATTTTCCTTGTAAGGAGCTGTTGGGGGAGGTCCGGATTGTCCCTGTCTTTAGTTCTCCAAGGATGGCCTGGGATGGGTAGGGGGTGCCTCCGTTTTGATTGCTTTTGAGTGTCTATTTTTCACCTTAGTCTTTTTTGATGATCCCCATGTTGCAAAAGGAAAATGTAAAAAACACACCCCTCAAATTGCTTTGTTTCAGAATGCTTTTGCACCCTTGACTGATGCCAAGACTAGGAGCCATGCTGATGATGTGGGTCTCGTTCTTTCTTCATTGCAGGCTAGTATATACCGAGGGGGATACAACCGTTTTGCTCCATACTAAATGACAAAACCCATTAAAACCTTCCAATGTGGGGAGAAAGGAAGCTTTCTGAGGCCTGGGTAACGCAATACATGCAGTAGTGCATCATTTTAGCCACTCTAAACAATTAAAAAGAGGGGAAAAAAATGACATTTTTTATCTTATACCTCAGATATTTTGTTCTGTGTATTTTAATATTGTGGGTCTTTCATTTCTGAAGGTTTCGTAGTTCGGTCGCCGGCTGTAGGAGTTTTTGTGGTTGACCTAGAGAGATGCTCGCTATGAAATAAAAACTGGTTTAGGGCTGTGGCTAGAGTGCTAACTCATGTCAGATGAATCACCTGTGCTGACTGTTAAGCTACTGGGGTTATCCGCTGTTTGGGAAGAGCTCAAGTGACGACAGTAGTCATTTTTTTCTGCATCTGCATTATTTTGTTTTACAAAAGGGGGAAGGGCAGGAGGGATGCGCACGGATTTGGCCAAGAAAGAAAAAGCAGATGGTAACAGATGAATCTAAACGACCCACTGCACCAACAATCATATGTCCGCGGTTCTAAGTTACTCACTGGCAGTTCAGGCCAAAGGTTACGGGGTTCAGGGGGCCTGGGTGACCGCCCGTAGCACGTAGTCATCCAAGTTGAACGAAGCTGTGCAAACGCACCCTTTAAACCATTCCGCCCGGCAGTATTCAGCTTCTTAACCAGCCGCTAGTTATTCAGGCAAAAAACTGCTAGTTAGGCCATCAAACAAGCATTCTTTTTATATTTCTTCCAGTCTAATAAATTATTGATATCATTGCTGACTTTTATATTATGGGAGGGAAAAAAATAATAATAACATTAATAAAAAGGTGATAAAAAGCACTGTTTCTATTTTTTTCTTTTTTTCCAAAAAAAAGAAAGTAATAAAAACTTAAATTCTTTGTACCAGTTAAAAAAAAATGTATAAAATTTACATCTGTGCAGTGGAGTTAAGTTCTAGAAACAGTCTCTGAAGCTTTAGTTTTAGCCTAGTCAAAAACCTGTTAGAGACAGATGTATAATTTTTATGGAATTACATGATAATCATATTCGGATTTATAGAAGCATTTTACAAGTATTGCAATCATTGAGTAGAGATAATCACGGTATTTTCATCAGCTTGGTACTTTTTGAAACATGACTGTGTTGTGTGAGCAATCTGCAATTTTTCAGTCCGTGAGAGCCTGCCCTCCTAATTCTCCCCGGATCCCAGGGATTATTTCGAACCAGTATCTTTAGTTCTGTCTCCAAGGCCCAGGACACTTGTCAGAAGGAAACAAAAGAGGAGGTGCACCCATTCCGACCCCAAAGAACAAAGTCCCCCCCACCTCGGAAGCAGGGCCAGAGTGACACAGCCGAAAAATTGCAGTTTGTCTGAACTTCTTCTGTTTGAACTCTTTCCACGTTGTCCTGTTTACAAGTTAACCTAAGTTGGGGTATCTGTCGCGGGTCTTCCTGTTTTTGTATTTAAATAAAGAAACAGCAGCCAGCCGCCCCCAGTAGTTCTGCTGCCATAGTTAGACCTCTATGTGTGCAGTGCGGGCTCTGTGGCACACACTTTAGTACGTGATCCGCTCACTGCTGTGGGCCTGCCAATCCGCTGTAACAACTCTGCTTTCAAACAAAACCAAACAAAACCTAAAAAAAAAAAAAAAGTGTCTGTGGTCCAGCTTTCTCTTGTCATCTTACGTGCATGCAAGTAAGATCAGTTGGATAATTAAACCATCAATAAAGTTTCACCAGATTCGAAAACCAAGTTTCTGTAGCTTCGGTATCTAAGACAGATAATCATTATCAAGAAAGGGAAGGGGGGAAACCCCGCCTAGCAGCCAAAAGCCTAAAAAAAAGTTCTTTTCACTGGAATGACATGGGTGGGGAAGGGGTGGGGTGGAGGGGGTGTTTTATCGCATCACTAAGACGTTCTCATCCCCCACCCCCAACCCACCTGAAAACGATGTTCTGGCAATGGATGCCTGGTTGACGTTTTTTTAAAGAAAACAACTTCTTAAAACGTTAAGGCATCCTGCCCCAGAGGCCAGAACAGTAGAAAGAACAGGGGGGCTTGGGAGAACAAATAGCTTTCTCCCAACTGCCTTGGATTTCAAAATCCAGATTTTGCATTGTATTTGAAATCAGAAACATAGAATTCTTACCGTGTTGGTTCAAGTAAAATTAATTTGCAGTTTTGATTTTCATCAATGAGCTGTACTTTTCCCCCATGATTGTATGTAGTTTTAATAAAATCATTTAGAGCAAGTGGGTGCCAAATGATGTTGCCGAATCTTTGTCTAGGCACTCTTCCAAGATGCCAATAAGTCATTTTAAAATGTATGTCAGAGATGTAAACAAACATTTTGGATTTTTTTAAGACAGTATTTATTTGGAATGTTTTCATTTATCTAAATAACTATTGCTATTATGAATTATGGAAAAAAAAAGATTAATATCATGTGTGGCATATAGTGACTTCTTAACACACACATCATGCAATCGCAAACCCAGAAAATGTGTATATCTGTCTTTAGAAATTAGTGTTTATATCACTTACAGTGGTTTGTGAATAAAGAAAACTGGTTTGTAATATCAAAAAATAAAAGCTTAGTCTGAAAAGGTCCACGTGAGCTGGTGTCCTGAGTGCTTTTGCTTCGGTGCGGTTCCTCGGAGGGAGATTTCGTTCTGCACACCCGGGGCTGCTCTTGCGCCCGCCAGTGGGGCATGGGTAGGCGCGGCCCAGCTGAGCCATGGGGTGACCCAGTGGAGCCCCAGGCCACCCACAGGGGCCCTGCCTGGCCGGCTCAGAGGGCTGCCCTTTCTCGTTCCCCTATTCCAAACAAGTCAGTGGAATGAACCATGGACATTTAAGAGCGAATCGAAACTCACCTTGGTTGTTTCCCCGGTGTGGGGGTGTCAGCCTTCAGTTTAAAACAAAACAACGGCCAACTGTGCGTGTCAAACAAAACAGGTGTACGAATTATTAATACAACTGGTGGGCGAGCCTTGGATGAAGATGAAAAATGAATACGCTGGAGTTTACAGCTACAGGGGGTTTACCAGGAGCCAGGAATCCTGCTTGGGCTCCGGTGCTCCGTGTTGTGTTTAATTGTTAGATACTCCCGTCAAGGTTGAATTGTCTGCCCCGTTTAGTTCTCTTCATAAGCGCTTCAACCTATCTCATTTAATTCTCTTAATACCCCTAATAAGTTGGAAACGCATAGAAAGGTTAACAACACATGGGGTCTAGAAGCAGGTGTTCTGAGTTGGAATCCTGATTTGGTTGCTAGCCAGTTGCCATCCAGGCCAAGTGAACCCAAAGCTCTGGGCCTCAGTTTCCTCATCCATCATTCAGGTTGCTAATAACATCTCCTTCTTACTGTTATTGCACAGAATAAATAAAACACTCTATGGGACAGGCCTGCAGCAGTACTTCATAAATTCTAAGCCGTTTCTACATAAGATCACACATCACGCAAGTGGTAGGACCAGGCTTCCAACGTGGGCACCCCTGACAGCTGGGGAACAGTCTCTCTCCTGGTGCAGGGAGAACTTTTTGCATTCAATTATAGAAATGACACAACTTCCCCAAAGGCCATAGGCAGTCCACAACCAGACTGTCTTAAAAGCATTCATTATACCGATTCAAGTATATTCAAGGGCCCTTTCTCTGTAAACTCATTACATAGGGGCCCATCCAGGTTATAATCAACTCCCATGGCCTGAGGCCAGTTGTTCCTTGAAGACAGTATTACTCTCACTTGATAACTGAAGAAAGGATAGATAGGTCATAGGATTTGCCTAAAGTCATGTCTAGCAACTGTTGGAAAAAGCCTCCCCAGGAAAGTCTGTGTGACCCTGAAAGTCACTAGCTTTATCCTGGCACATGGTGGGCGGGGGGATAATCATCACCTAAAGTGCTAGGTGATGACTATTCCCTGCCCCGTCCTAATGGGATCAAAGCACAGATAACAAGAGAAATAGTTTACATTAGCATCTCCAAAGCCAAGTTCGCCTCTAAAATAGAGCCAAGCATATAGATTTTGTGGGAAATGCAAACAAAATAAAAACTATGGCAGAAGCAAAAGGGATTCTTCAAGGACTGGATGGTGGATGCACAGGCTTGCCGCCCGCCCCACTCTGCCCTGCCTCCCCCCCCCCACCCGCCCAGTGTGCCCAGAGGTAAGTAAATAAGCCCAGAGGAAGCCCATATGCGAGGCACACGCTGGGGTACAAATAGAGGCTGTCATTTATTTCTTTGTGGACAGTGCCTGGGAGGTAGTCACAGCCTCATCCCATCTGTATTTTTTTTCTTAAAACAGTATTTTGATTAAGAGTAAAACCACTGTGTTAAAAAAATAAAAATGAAACATTACAGGTACAATTCAACTAGCTTAGACCACGCTCCATCCCAGCATCCCACCTGGCACACTGACCACCTTCACTTTAAGATGATGTATCTGAAGGCCAGTTGCTACTTCCTGGGAAGCAGCTGTTTTTGATGGAAGCAAAACACTTCCTTCTCCAGCACACCCCTGTGCATGCGGGTGTGGATGTCTGCTCCCCTCATGCTTGTGCACCTGTAAGCGTGCGTGCACGCATGAGCCAAAGCCCTTTAGTGCAGTGACCGTGTTCCCCAGGGTGTGATCAGAGACCTCCTCTTTCAGAAGCACCTGAGCTGGTTGCAAGGGCAGATTCCCAGCATGTCTGGGTTCAGCCCTCCCAAGGTTGACTACCACTATCAAATGGGAGGTACCACCTGTCAGTGAACTTCCTGTTCGTGTTCAGGCTTGATTCTCTCTGCAGACCTGATCCATCTATAAGGCGAGCTGGTTGGTGTGTATATGCATGGGTGTGCATGTGCACATATACACAAGCATGCACCTGCACAGAACTATAGACTGATGTGCGTTCTTGCTCTTGACAACCTGGGATCACTTTTGTACTAAAAGTCAAGAATTAGGACTGAAAAAATGATATTCTCACGAGGGAAGATAAAAAAGTCATTTTTGCTGGAAAACACTGAAAGGCTAGGGTTTTTTGTTGTTCTTTTGTTTTTTTATTCCACTATTGGGTAATATATATGCATGCATACACACATACCAATATATATCATATACTTGGGAGATGTGTAAATTCACAAGGTGCTATCTTTTCAGGATAGGACACTCCCATTGTGCAATTACTTGGGAGTCAAACTGACATTGGACCTAGGGCCACTGCATGTCGCTTCCCAAAGCAGAGTCCATCAACTAGTGAGTAACACGGGGCCTCTTCTCTCATTGCTGTTATTGGCAGCCCTCGGGGATATAGATTTTGGGTTGAACAGGAGCAGGTGGCTCACTGGCACTACTGAAGAGTCAGTCCAGTCCTAGCTCACATGTTAAGGGGTGCGGGGGTTCCAAAGGTGTGTCTCTGACCCTGTGGCACAGAAAACCAAGGCTGGTTTGAGCTCAGACATCTGGTCCAGACAATGGTAAGTACCAGCTGTCTCAAAGGGGAAACGAGTTCTGGACAGCAAAGCTGAATGCCAAGGATTCTTTTAAAACTAATGGTGTCATTTCCTAAATGGAATAAGTGTCATAGCTCGTACTGAGAATACAAACATAATAATAAGGATGGTGAACATTGTTTAAATACAATGCCAGACACTCTACAAAATACACACACTTAATCTGTACTTATATACACATAACTGTGTCTCTACAGACACAGATCACAGATAGGAGATGCATCAGAGAGTCTCTTAACCCCTGCACGTCGGTCGCCTCCTCTATAAAATGCCAGTCATCACAGAACCTCGCAAACAAGGTTCATGTGAGACTGAACTGCATTAAAATGTGTAGAGACCTTGGCCTGGCATACAGCATTTTTTTCTTTTTGATAAATCATCTCTGCATCTATCTATATAATGTATATATATCCATATACTTTTTATAGATTCCAATAATCTATATATTTCTTATCTGTATGTGTATATCACATCACATGATCAATTATACATACAGATCTATGCAGTTGTACACATCTAAAGTAAATTACTTTGTATACATGGATACCAAGTGCTTTTAAATGTATAATGTGTTTATTTTTATGCATTAGTGTCACTGCAATATATTCATTAGTGGACTAAAAATATATAGACTAATTCTCGTAAAGCACTTAGATGCAATCTGACAGTCTGCTGTCAGCAAATAAGCCTCACTGCGGATTGTTATTATTATTATTATTATTAGCTTATTTAATCCTCACAAACTGGTGAGGTGGGTACTATCATCACCCAGTCTAGCCAGGAGGAAGCAGGGCTTAAGCAAGCTCAGCGACATGCCCAGGGTCTGCGGCTCTGGGTGCAAGGGCAGGGCCATGAGCATGGGCTGCTGGACCCCAGAGTTCTTGCTGCTACGTGCTGGGCAGTGCTGGACACACACCCTGGCTTTGTCCCCAGGCAGCCCGTAGGTAATCTGGCCCACGTCCTGGAGCTCATGCACACTGCTGGAGCAAAGAGCCAACCCCAGGGTTCTTCCCTTTGTTGCACACTGCCCTCAAAAGTACCAGACAGCTAGCCAGTTCTTGACTAGATGGTGGGCTACCCCTGAGTGTGCACCCCCCTCCTGTGATCACTCCTGAGACCATGTATGTGCCTTGGCCTTTGCTGTCCAAGCTCTCCATCTGAAGCAGGCAGACAGCACTTAGCCCAAAAAAAGCAAGAAGACAACTCCCCGGGCTCTAAAACAGAAGACAAAACAGGGGGCTGCAGGCAGAAAACAGAGGAGCAGAGACCCAAGAGGTAGGCAAGCGGTGGTCGCAGAATGCACCCAGGCAGCCCCTCAGCATGCAGGCTGCAGCGAACCTTAAAAGGATAGAAAACACAAAAAGCTCTGCCTAAAAGCAGAGCAGCAAACAAAAGCCTCCTCTCACGTCTGGAAAGGCAAACTTTCCGCAGCCACCCCAGGAAGTTGTCCGGAACTAAAAAACAGGTCAGCACGCAGCTCGACTTTTATCTCCCCCAAAACACTCCCAGGCTGAAATTCATTAACGTGTGCATTTCCCAGGCAGCTGAGCGGCTGCTCTGCGGGACAGGCCTTATGTGGCTGCTGCTGTTTCCCCATGTTTATTTTCCTAAACTGTCTGACGAGACGATGCATTGTTCCTGCTACCAGTCCTCCTTTTTCCAAAGCCTTGAACGTCTCTCTCCCCCTCCAGACTAGGCCCACGTGTGGGAGCGCACGGCCTTGTGAGAAAAGGAGCTTAAGAAGGAAAAAATTAAAACCTCCCAAAATATTCAATGTCAGTTGCAACCTTCTGATTTTGAAATTCCAAATCGTGCCTGTCCTGCATGGTGAAGGGAAGACATAAAACCCTCCTTCCTTGTTTATCATTTTCCCCCCTTCAAAAACAAACCAGCATGATTCACCAGGTTGATATAAAGACAGGAGATGGGGGTTTGCTCCATTAAGCCGTCAGAGACTTAAACTTGCAGCAGCGAGGAGGGGAAAACGAGCAGCCACATTCAGGGTTACAGGTTTTCTTCCCCTTTTAAAAAATATTTCTAGATAAACCTGCATGTGGACCCTTCTCTGCTCTCTTCTACCTGCCTACCTACTGTGTGTCTTTAGGCAACTT